GGCATACTTTCCATTTGCTGAAAACCTGCAGATAAGTCCTGAGTGAAGTTTAGAACCCACGTGGGTCAGTGGAGGGAGTGAGAAGCATGCTTGTGCAGTTTATTGTATCCCACTGAATTTTTTCCAGGGGCTAGATGGTAAATCGGTTCTTCACAAGGACACACCACAGATGAAGACAAATAGGAAAACTGTACAGAAGAGTTTATATAGCATTTGGGTGTTTGTGTTTAAAGTCAAAAAAAGAAAGTATATGTAGATCATTCTGGAGTAGGTCAAACATTTTTTTTGTCTTGGACAAAAGTCTCTGGGAAATCTGCCCTGTAAGACTCCTCTAGCAGAAAAAGGACATGGATGCCAGCTAATTTTATAACATCAGAGTGCATCCTCTGGCTTATTGGGGTCTGGGAGGCAACCTTGGCCTTACTTAAGGGACCCTCAGAAGCCTTTTGAGGAACTGAAAGGTGACCGTTAAAGATACATACTGGTAGAGTGGATATATATTGAAAAGTTTTTCTCTGTTGGATAGGCAAAGGAAAATATACTCCCAGCTGACTTGCTAGACTGATATTTTCCAATAGGAACTTATTTTACTGAGAAATTATACATAAAAATTATACTGTGGATGATTCAATCAATCAGCAGTAGTAGTGTATGTGACTATGTGTGTGTGTGTGTGTGTGCATGCGTGTGTGTGTGTGTGTGTGTGTGTGTGTGTGTATTCCCACTGGAGATACAAAGAAGTATGAAATGTGGTTTCTGCCCTTGGAGAAGTTTACAGTTAAAATGAGGCTGAATTTAAGCGCCCTCTCTCTAAAGAAATTCTAACCTCTCTCTAAAGGAAATTCTAACTATTCCATAATGAGAGACAATGTGATGTGGCTGAATGTTGGTAAGCTTAGCTTGAGAAAGTCATGACCTAAAAAATCCTTTTTATCTTGTCACCGGACCACCCATAGATTCAGCTTTGTGCCCCTTGTGTCATCCAGAAGGAGAGAAAGTAGTATTTGTACCATGAATCTTAACTTTTCCCTATGAGACAGTTGTCCCCAACCCCCCCATTGTAAGGAATTATGTGGGCTATTAACGTACACTCAGTAGTTGTGTGTGTTTATCCCAGCAACCAAATGTAGAGATTTTCTGTCTCTTGATTCTACATCTGCAATGGAGCTATGTCCTTTAGAATAATAACACAACAGAGAAATACTTTTTATATGGGGTAGCTTCCATATAACTCTGATTGTCTTTAATTGGGGGGGGAATCACAAGCTAAAAAGAATAACAGACTTGAAATCAGTTAAAACTCAGAATAATCAACTGAGAAAAAAAAATGTAATCTCAGAAATCTTCATTGTTAACCACAGGACAAGAGTCTCTTTATTCATTCAATAACTTTTGCTGCCCCTCTCTGTTTCTCAGATTGGAACTCTAACATAGACGAGAATTGCCAAATATCTGTGAAATGAAAGACTTTCCACCTACCCTTCCCATTCCCCATAATAGCCTAAAACAAATAAAACTGAGAAAGTCACAGTTCAGTTCGAGAATTAGGTTTATGTGGCTCTAATGTAAGAACTCTGATTGAGACTGGTCTTGATCAAAGGCAGGAAGGGGGAGAATTAGGCCAACTAAGACACCTTTTTTTTGGTTTGTTTTAGCAGTGTTTCCCTAGAAATAGGGAGATATGATTTGGCACATTACAAACAAACGACTGGCCTTCATTTTTCACATAATAATAGCAAAACCGCAGGAGCATTAATAGAACCAAAAACATAACCTGCTATTTATTGTACCCGAGGTTGGCTTTCATGATTTTCGAGAAAGGACCAGAGTTGAGACAATGCCATGAATGATTTTTTTGTCAGCCTAGCCCTGTATCTAAAGAAGCCGATAGATACATATAAGCAGATTATTCTTTTTCTTGGTGGAGTGAAGAAAGAGCTTCTCTCTTGGTAGGCATATGCCAGACAATTTAGGGGGGAAGGGAAATATGAAAAAAGCATGGTGGAGGGGAGAGCAGCTCTGTGAAATGAGGCCAGACTGGCGATGCCTGTGTACTGTCCTCATCTTAAAAGGATACAGTGACTGGATGTATTACAGCCGCTTTCTCCTTAAAGCTGACCAGAACTTTACAAATCTGTTCATTTCTATTTGACACGAGGAGTGGGATCTCTCAGGAGCAGGAGCAGGGATGTCACGATGCCTGTCGTCTGCCAGAGCAGGAAGCCGCATTTGTAATGGGGAGCTCAGCGATGTTTCCTTGCGAGCATGAAGCCACCCGTGCTGGGCTAATCCCCGCTCCCCGCGACGGCCGTCGCATCGGGAAACTCTCCGTGACTCAGCGGCAGCAATCCCGTTTGTCTGCCTCCTACCTTCTCCCCCAAAGAACGGAAAATAGCAGAACTGCAAGGCTGGGCTTGTTTAATGAATGTGATTTGTTTTTGTTGAACTGAAGGCACAGGAGGTTTCGGAAGTTGTCATCTTGATGCTAGATTTGTGAATGATTCCGTGCTCCACATCTTTGGAGGCTTTTAATACGGAGGGTGAGCTTGCAGGTGATAACCTGTTCAAAGGCATTTTCTTTACTTTCAGAAGTTCCTTGAATAAAAATGACCTTTAAAGGTAGCTGAGGCCATCTCTGTGACTTGCAGAGCTGTATCTAGCATAGGCAGGCATCTGAGAATCTTCCGTTCTGATAAGATTGTCCTCATGATGCGGCCTCCTCCTTCCCTCTGTGACTCTTCCTTGAGCCTGGCTGTGGTCCTCCTGCCATCTCAGAAACCTGTAACGCTGTAACCTGAGGCACTTTCTGCTTTTTCAGTTTGAAATGCATTCTCTTGCACTATATAGTCCGTATAGTTTTTGGTGGAATGCCTTTTCGTTCATTCACCTGTTTCAGCATTAGAAACCAACTGTCTTGGGGCGCTTGGGTGGCTCAGTGGGTGAAACCTCCGACTCTTGATTTTGGCTCAGGTCATGATCTCAGGGTCATGGGATCGAGTCCTGCATCAGGCTCTGCACTCAGTGTGGAGTCTCTCTCTCTCTCCCTCTTCCTCTGCCCCTCCCCCTGCTCGTATGCCCTTTCTGTTTCTCTCAAATAAATAAATAAATAAATAAATAAATAAATAAATAAATCGTAAAAAAACAGTCTTGCCTTCTTTATATTAGCGTGACTTCCCTCCTCTACAAACTTCCCCGCCAAAAAAAGTTAATTTGTCAAAACAGATTGAACATTACTTTTCCACAGTTTGTAACAGAAGGCAATTTTAATAGAGGCATTGGCTTAGATATGAGTTTACTTGAGGGACTATTTGCATTTAGTAATTAGTGGTACGATATTATTATTTAGTAATATAGAAAAAAAAAGGCCCAGAGAGAGCTTGATTCCCTGGAGAAACAAACTTCCTGAACAAGGATAGTAACACTTTTTCTCCATTTAGATGTAATTGTTGGATGATATTACCCAAACTAATTAATAATGACACATTAGTTAACATATTGCCATCAGCAGGTGGCTATTTGAGCAGGGATGAAAATGGCATGTGCTAAAACAAATTGTTGTACCCTAGAGAAATGTGCAGAATTATTTTTTAAAACAGTCTTTTAATGACGTGTGCAACATGATTTTTTTTTTTTTTTTTTTACTTAATACAGCTTTGAGAGATGAAACTGGGGGTAAGGCTGGAGAGATAGAGACTGAGAAAAACAAAATGAAAGAAAACAAAATTGATTCAACCTTTACCAAAAGCTTTTCGAATTGATAAACCAAACAAAACAAGTCAACAGTTGAATCCAAGGGGCACAGTCGGTCTGTCAGATCAGAAATCACACAGAAGACTCGGGGACCCTCCTTCTTCCTTTGCTTCTCTCTTTCTTCCTCCCCTCTGTCTGTTGTAGATCTGTCAGGGGATTTGGGGCAGACGGCAACGTATGGGCAGGAAACTGTAATCTGTGACTGGCTTTCAGTTTCAGAGGCATCACTGTGACAACAAAGGGGTTAAAACTGTCAACACCTATCAGAGCTCGGCGATAATTAGTGTAATAGCAGTCCCAGAACATTGGCACAGATGACCACACCACAATAGATGAATTCTACCAGGGTCCTGCTTCGTAGAGAATCCTTCGTCTCTTCCAGCTCAGGCACAGCTATGTTTTTTAAATGCCTATGTGAAGAAAGTTATTGTTTGTGCATACAGATGATTCTGGTTAAAGATGATTGTGAATCTTTTTTATTTCAGAAAGTGCTTTTTGAATTAGCACTTGCAGATACAAGTTGTATAGATCTGTACCCTCTGAGCACCAGATGGGTGGCCTGTAGAATGTCTCCAAGTGTGTCAACTATTACTCTGTTACAAAGGATGCTCAAGTATGGTAGGGAGTGGTGTGATTTAGGGAGACAAACTGTTGCAAGATATACTTTCATTAATTTTTTTTTTTACTTGTTCTTACAAGAAACATAAAAGGAAAAACAGAACGTTTTTAAACAAGACAGCCTGGAGAAGAATAAAATACATTTTTCATTTAGTAGCTTCAAGGAAAAAAATGGATAAATAAATAGCAGAGACTTAAAGGTATTTTTTCAGGGATGCCTGGGTGGCTCAGTCGGTTAAGTGTCTGCCTTCGGCTCAGGTCGTGATCTCAGGGTCCTGGGATCGAGCCCCACATCAGGCTCCTTCCTCAGCGGGGAGCCTGCTTCTCCCTCTGCCTGCCGTTCCCCCTGCTTGTTCTCTCTCTCTCTCTCTCTCTCTGACAAATAAATAAAATCCTTTAAAAAGATATTTTTTTCAGAAGTCCATGTGGTAACCAGAAAAGGACAATTGTGACTTAAATATAGGAGCAGCAGTTGGTAGAGCATGTGACTCTTGATCTCGGGGTCGTGAATTCGAGCCCCACATTAGGAGTCGAGTTTACTTAAAAAAAAATAGGAGCAGGAATCCATGATGGACTAGGGGAAGAATGGGTAAAGGAGAACCTCAATAACCCCGATATGTTCAAATCCACAGGTCCCAATGGCTGGCATCCTAGAGTACTTAATGAATTGGCCGAAGTCATCACAGAACCGCTAGATATCATTTTTGAGAACTCGTGGAGGACTCATGAGGTGCCTGAAGACTGGAAATGGGCATATTTAGAACCTTCTTTCACAAAGGGAAATGGATGATGACCCTGGAAATACTCATCAGCTTAACTTTTTTCTTGGAAAAATTCTGGAATAATCAACTTAGTACACTGGGTAACTAACTTATAATAGCTAGAAACGAGGCAGTGAAACATCATACATAAAGAAATACTGAGTCTGGTTTTGAGATCAGGTCTCGTGCCTATTTTGGGGATCCTCCCCTCCATTCTCTGAATTCTTGATGAAAATAAATGAGGTTGGCCGAGGCATTTGGGTGATAACTAATTTTAAGTGTAATACAAGACAAAAAGCAGGTTTATGGCATTAGCTCATCATTGCATCCTTTCCATATGAGCCTTTAACTTGAGAATTAGGAGCTTTAATTTAATATTTTAGCATACATCTTTTTTTTTTCCACTTCATATGGGACCATGTTTTTATGGGCTGAAATATTTTATATAATTCTCCATAGAATAGTTTGGTGATGGAATTCCCTTATTTTAAGGTGCTTTTCATAGTTACTTCGTATATAGGTAGGATCATCAAGCTGAATAATCTGAGGAACATCAGCAAGGGGAGAGAGATTTTTCTAACTTCTCATGTTTAATTTAACCTGGCTGAAGTGTAGTATTAGCACCAGGAAGGGTGTCTTGCTCTCACTGACAACTGAGCAAGATCTGCTATGTAACTTGATCTCTAGTTTTCCTCACTCCCTGGGGACTGTCTTGACCAGTGCTGTGCCGGATCCCACCTCTGCCCACCCCAGGATTCTGATGTCAGGCCTGTGGGGGCAGGGAAGTTGGCAGTGGCAGCGACCATTACAAACCTTACATAACCACAGCCCAAAAGGAGAGTAGGATCGAGTGGGGGAAGGAAATCAAGACACATCTGGAGTCTTTCTAATTCTTACTGTTCTTGCCTTTGGCTGCGGGTAGTTTTATTTCCTGCTTAGAAAATACAACCAAGTTGATGGGACCAAACATTTAATTGAAAGGAAATTATCAAAGAAGGTCCAAGTCTGCCACAGGCTTTGGGGGCAGGCAGCTTCTGAGAGCCCATGAGCCGTCAGTCCTGTTACAGAATCTTTCTTGCACTACTTGGAAGTACACAGGATCTGCTAAAGTTTGCCTCAGCATTGTGATGCTCAAGAGTAGGAAACTCTCAGAGGAAAAGCAGTTTACGTGCATTTTCTTCCTGGTGCATGCTGGTCCCTAGGTGAGCAGTTAAGATCTCCAAGGACAATTTTATTACAATACTGCTTTAAAAATCTAAGGTTTACATAGTTTATCTACTTCTAGAGATTAATTTCGATACTGTAAAATCAGTCTCACTCTTAAATGCAAATGCAAGGAAATTAAGCTTGCGAGCATGTATAAATTTTCCTTTAAACTATATGTAGCTTGCAGATAAGTAAGGATTAGACTCCAATCAACCTTTCATCATTTTTTTTTTCAAGTGAACCAGAGTCTTTCAAATTTCCAAGCTAGATTTTTCTTAAGGAGTGGGGGGTCTGGATAGATTACAGATCGAATTTATTGTGATAATAAATGGCTTCCTGTTCAAGACCTCATTTCCAGATGCAGCATCTGAGGCAGATTTATTTCACAGATGTGCATTTCCATGCATTTGTTGAACTGTTATTAGAAAGAACCCAATGTCTGAAAAATCTATTATTTTCACCGTTGGCATTATAATGCAATCTACTGCGACCAAAAAAAAGGGACTCTGTTCATTTCAAGTTTTATTTTCTATTTGTGTAATGTCTAACTTCAATTAGCTTGATGAATTTAAATTTATTGGTGTCTGCTATTGGAATTTGAAAATAATGATATCCTACCTAAATTAAGAGTCACAGTCTAGAACAGTGAGAAAACCAAAGGACTTGAAAGACTTCTTACCTAAAGCCAGAGAGAGAAAGCTTTAAGCAGAGAGGTATTAAAGGAACCCCTTAATTCTTTTTCATTAAATCAAGGTCAGGTAAGAGCTTAGAATATAAGAGAAAGGAAGTAGTCTTACCATGAATTGTATCTGAAGACAGTTACTCTTAGGATGAGTAATTTTTTATAGTATTTTTAAATTTTACCTAACATTCATAATATCCTTAATAGGTAAAGGTAAAGGAAGTAGCTAAGGGACAACTATGTTATCAGAACTAGAGGAGTATCTTGATTTGTATTTCCTAGAACTTCAAGAGACATTAAGTAGAGACTTTTACTTCATAACACTGAGGAATTTGGAGGAGTATAGCAAAATTTTTCTTCAGTTCATCTTTTAACAAAATTTTGGGGGTGAGGAAAGAAAGATTTTCTTTACATAAAATATTTCTTGGTTCAGGCAATGCAAGGGCTCCTTCCCACCAAGGGAACTGAAGCAAATTAGAATAGCTGTACTCAAGCAGTTTCTCAGTCCCGAGAAATTTACAGCATCTTGGTGGTATGAAATCAACGACAAAAACAGTAAGCCTTGAGTTCTGACTTTCTGAGTCCAAATTTTGGAATCATGTCAATTGCCTCTTCAGGTAGTGAATCTGTTTAGAACATAAGCTATAATGTAGCATGGGGAATGGTCTTGAACAGTTGTTGAACTCATCAAAAGCTTTTTATCCCTGCCTATTAAATGGGGAAAATGAATACTTACTATAGTTCTGCATCAAACTACATCAAACAGCTGCAGAGTTCTTGGCCTGGTGCTTGACACATAGTGGGTGCTGAGCACCTTCCTCCCTTCCCTTCTTTACCATGACCTTCTTTCTTTCCTCCTACGTGAAAGAGATTACCTTAAAACTGACTAGAAAACTCAAGCATAAATTGATGTGTCCTTATTGCTGCCTTAAACCCACTAAATAAAGCCCCTTTGCTTTCTTTTAGAAAGGATAGAAAGGTTACAGTGGCCACTTTCAGCAGGAGTTCTCTAAATGTTTATTGATTGAATGAAAGGAATGTGATTTTTAAAAACAGTGAGCAAATGTGTAAAGCCAGCACTTTTCAAGGCTGGGGAAATAGTCGCATAGATACATATGAAGGTATTTCTTCAACTTTCTTCTTTCTTACAGCTTTAGATTGATAAGTTTGGTGTACAAATTAGTGAGTAGTATATGTGCATTTTCATCGGATTTTATGACTGTGATTTACAAATTAGGAGTGCAAGTCGGCATTCCCGCATAGGTTCTTCTGCGATAAACCCAGCCAAGATACCAAGCAGATGATGGTGGATCAGCAGACTTTTCTATGTGAAGAGAAACCAGATGTACCAGTGACTAGGAAGCACCTGCCAGAAAACTGAGATGAATATATCTGGATTGTTCTCTGTGAAGAGTCGAGCACCGTAAACAGGTTCCTTGCATGGGCATTGAAGAATAACAAAAAGAGAGGTTAAAGAGAATTACATTTTTAGACAAAATATTTGATTCATATAACTTTTTACATGTAATATTAAATTAGGTATCAAAATGTCATGTTCAGGCAGGCAGAAGATTTCTGAATTTCAAGTAAATAAAGGACAAAGAATAGAATAATGTGTCCAGAGACATATACAAGACATGAGCAAGAATCTGACGAAATTGCCAGTTCTCTGTTCAGACCAAGGACCAAGTTCAGGGGATGCTTAGAAGTCAGCTGACAACTTGTGCTTTGAATAAAGCTATAATAGATGCTGTATTAAACAAAGTAAGTTGTGCAGAGCAAAGCAAATCAGCTAGGTTTTCTCTTTTAGAATCTTCTAATTTTACTCTTAGCAGTCTCTGTGGTCATCGGTTAGATATTCCTACGTCATATGTTTTACACTATTAGATTCTTTGGAAAATACTCTTTAGCTCCATATTATTAATCTCTAAGAATATAAAATCAAATTTCTACTCCATGATCACTGTTTTAGATATGTACGTGAAAGGCAAACAAACCAAAACGAAACAAAAAACCCACAGTAGTTCAGAAAAATGAATAACATAACTTTTTTTCTTTTTGCTTACCAACATGGAAATTTTCCTTTAAGTTGTTTAAATGCCTGGCAATGACATTTTGTTTTTTTATTGTTGCTGTTAAAAGATAACTTTTAGAGGAAAATGGGAGGTTAAATTCCACATTAAGAGCTGCTGCGTGGTATTTTTTTGACAATTTGGCCAACATTTCTTCCATTGGAACAAAAGAAAGTCAACTTTTCAACATTAAGATGAGAAATGTCTTTTATAGAAGCATTCTGTATCATGCCCTTTGTCTGATGAATTTTCCTTTATTACTCCAAAAATAAAATGCTGAATGGAATATCTTGAGGGCAAAGTGGTATAGTAATTGGGGCAAATGGTAGAAATTCTATTGCAGTTGTTGCCCTGTTCTCTAAGCTTGAGACTATTCTGAGATACTCTTTGGGTTCCTAAAGCCATCATTAATGGAAAAGTTCTGCCTTACAGAGATGTGTGCATAGGTCCAAATAATTAACATGTGTACATCTAAGTAGCCGAGCACAGATTGATTCTAAATAAAAGCTGCAGTTTGGTTTTTTGTAAATATAATTGCAACTGACACCTTTTCCCCCTTTCATTAGTTGTTTTTAAAAGGGACTATATGAGAAGGCTCTATTAAACGCTTACTTGGAACAGCATTAGGAACCATGGATCATACGCCCATGCAGTGCTGTGATTTACAAACATATGTCCGCTCTTCAATAAATGTTATGGCTTTCACAGCAGTTCCGCCTTGGCCTCTTTTGTGATCGTTTTCCATTCCGATGAATGGCATAGAGTATGTGTGTTGTTTAAATGGATGGTGTATAAATGTTTACAGTAATGGAGCATTATGGTTAACATGGGAAATCAGAGTTCCAACTTGAAAGAAAGGAGAAGGCAAGGCTCCCCATACTCCATGCAAAATGCAAATAAATCATTACGATGTGTGTTTGGATGCTTTCGTGTGATTGTTACATGTGTATATGTTGTGGCTTTCTCCTCCCCAGCCCATCCCACTTCTGACTAAAAAGTCCTCCCGAGGGTGATAGGCTGCAATTTTGTACCAGTAGTTTCTGCTCGCCGGGGGGGGGGGGGGGGTAGGGTAGTGAGATATATTAGGTGATAGGCGGGGTCACACGTGGAGTTTCTGCCGTGGCTCCTGCAGCCTTGAATAGCCATCACCCAAACGTGGTCATGATTTGTCTACAGATAAGTGGCATCTCAGGGGTCACTAGATCTGGAATCTACCTCTGGAAAGAGGTGGGAAGCCTCACCACTTTCTGGCTTCTGGACCTTGAGCAAATGGAATAAATATAGACCT